CCAATCGCGGTAATGTCGCAGTTACTGAACCGGTGCACGATAGTAGGACCATATCAATGTTTAAATGGTGATTCAACCATATTATATATGAAATTTTGTGCAATATGTGATATATGTCTATTATTTAAGGTATAATAATGTTACTTAAATACAAAGTATTGTGTAAAGAGAGATTAATAGGGTGTAAAATATGAGCTCCTTCGTGCATCGCACGTGATACGCACTAGTTATAAATTAATAAAGGATTAACAAAAATAATTATTAAATCTATCTAAATCCAATTAGGATGACACGCATTTTCTTAATAGAAATCAACAATAATGCTCACCTACCCACGGTGGGCATATGTTAATATATCCACCGCTTATGTGACATTTACATATTGGTGATGTATTTTTTTAACATATTAACATCATCAATGTGTGAATGTCACATAAACGGTGAACATATTAACATGTGGTCACCGTGGGTAGGTGAGCATTACCGTAGAAAACCAATGTCTTGATTCTTAGAAAATAACAACAAATAGTATATTGTTATGAATTATTTGTTATAAAATAATATATGTGAATGACTATTTTGCCCCCGATGTAATTGATTATTACGGTTGTGCCATCAGAAGTTTCCTATAAATAGGAGCTTCAGTTATAATGAAAATCGTACCTAAGAGAAATATTTTCTCTATTATCTCTCTTTCTCTCTAGTTTTATAACACGTTATCATCACGAGTCTCTACCCTTCGAAGCTCGATTTGTAATATGACGAGAGTATGCTCTACGGTTGCGTCTTATAGACGATCTTCTGTATCAGAAATCAAATTATTACAAATTATTATTTAAATAAATAATAATAATAATAATAATAATAATAATAATAATAATAATAATAATAATAATAATAATAATAATAATAATAATAACACTAACTCGAAGACAGAGTTATTAGAAAAGTAGAAGTAAAATATCTACCAATGGCCAACAAGCTCCTAACCACTATCGACATTATCCATGGTGGCTGATGTCCTAGCAGTGGCCCTGATGGGCGTGACAGCTCATTCCCCGACATTGGCTCCGGGGCTACCGAAAGTGGTGGCTCTTTCTTCGGGGCTCAACTGCTTCATTAACCTAGTAAAGCTTTCTCGGATTGTCTGACGTTCGTGGAGAGAGAGGGAGCAACCTGACCCGGCCCGACCCGAGGTGATGCCCGACGCTGGCCAACTTGGTTGACATGCAGCCGATCTGCATGTGTCTTGGAACCCAGTAAGGTATTCTTGTAGCCTGTGTCTTGGAACCCAGTAAGGTATTCTTGTAGAAGCTCTTGTATCAAGTGAAGCCTTTTCAGCAGGTATGTTCTCAATTATGCCGCCCACAATATACATGAGTCAAAGAAATTGATAAGCTCCAAGTTTATTTTCTTCATAAAATTACCTGAACTTTTGTGCATGTGAAGCATTTATTAGTATTCAAGAGATGGGTTCCATCTGTCGGTTTGGCTCCTTCACTTATTTGGTTTGTTTATGCCACATATTTGACAATTTTAAATTCTTTAATTTAAGGGATAAAAACATAAAAAAGACATTTGTTAATTCACGAAAGTTAATAGTATAATTAAATGTGTAGAATATTGAAAGCAAAATTATGCACAAGATTTAAGTGTCAGATTATGCGTGTAGATGGGTGAGTAGAATTTAAGAATCATGAAGATCAATTTGAGGAGATGTGGGGGCATTTACATATTCTCATAAAATAGATGATAACAAATTGGGTCCATTCATTGATGAAGGGTAAGCCCACCATGCAAGTTTATGTTATTAAATATAGTGTGGTGTATTATTGGTCTTGGTGGCATGCCAAAATCCATGAATGTCAAAGTATACTTGTTTGCAAATATAAGTCCACCAAACGATCTTATTTTCATACTACTAAATTTGATAGCTTTATTTTGAGATCAATATCGATATAGTTTATTATATATATATTGGTATATTTGAAATTTTATTTGGTACGTGAACATGCCGGTATTTATGATTTGACCCGTGTGATATGAAAATAAATATGTGTGGCTACATAGACCGGTCAGTGCGGCTCTGCCGCCGACAGGAGATATTTAATGGTAGCCGACGGGTCAACTATTGAAATATGAAAAATCATATGAAATGGCAAAGCAGTAAATCCACTAAAATAAGATTTGAACAACTAAGTGAACCAGTCAGTGTATTGAATAAAGATGACCGGTGATGGCCAAATGATAAATGTATTTCTTAATGATAGTCGGTGACATAAAATGGCCAAGTGGCAAGGCCACGTGCAACAAAATATAAATGGCTATATATATACATGAGTCGGCCAGTGCGGCTCAGATACCGACGACGGGCATTACAAATTAAGCAATAGCCAATGAATGCAATGAATGAAACTTTGTACCTGGTCATGTGAAAGTTAAATAAAGTCCTAATCGTGAAATGATATTATATGGACTAACATGATCCTGAAAAACAGTTGATAAATTCTCCAAATTTATGGAGTAACGAAAATTGATGAGATGGTACCAGAAGTTACCATATGATACCCAAAAACTACCACATAGTGATGATATCGTGGTATAGTGATACTTGAAGCTACCACGTTATGATTAAACAAAATGATGAAATGGTACCAGGAGCTACCATTAGATGATTGAACAAAATGAGAAAGTGGTACCAAAAGTTACCAGTTATGAGTGATCACACAAAATGATTTCTCAATATATTATGTGAGTCTAAGGGACTATATCAGATCACATTGAGATTCGAGATCATATAGATATTACAATAAATTGCTCCAGAAGAAGCACATATGGTAAATGATAGTAGTCATGAAATTCTACACGCTTATAATGTGGAAAAGCAAAATTGGTATTATTATTAATGAGAAACAAGTACAAAAAGTTCATATGATGTAAATATGGAGAAGAGGCAGTACATACTCGATAAATACGAAATATGCAAAAATTACATAATAGAACCCATAAAAGAAGGGTGCGTCTCGAGAGTATAAAACTCCGTAGCGCTGCCACCCATTATTGTTATTTGGGTTCATAATGAGAGATCTAAAGGATCAAAATCTCTTTTTCGCTTAACCCCTTGTGTTTCTACAGACTCTTGAAATGTGATGCATTCTTGAAGCTTTTTGATAAGCTCAGCTGACGTATCTGCAGATTTGAATACTTCTCTCGTTGGAGGAGATATAAATGTTTGATATTCTCCTTGGTCTAAAAATCCAAGCAAACCAGAAAAGAAGTTATTAAAATTCAATAGACCTATAGGCTTGTTATGAAGTTTCAATTCTGCCCAAGAAGCAAGGATGAACATTGTCATTAGCATTCCATAACCGCCTGGAAGAATGATAAATGCATCGCTCTTGTTCGCCATATCTATCATACAATCATGAATAGAATGAGTTAACATCATGCATATGGAATCCTTGACGACCATTGTTGAAGCTCTATGAAAAGGTATGATACTTTTCACTTCTATCTCAAAACATTTTCCGACCAATAAAAGATTATCAAAGAAAGTGATGCTAGTCCCTCCATATAGTAAAGTGATTTTTTGATTTCCCATATCCCTTACTAACTGACTCACAATATCAACATTTTGAGAAAAACTTACCAGTCTAGAACCACCAAGAACACATATGGTTTTGATCGGCTGAAGAAATTTATTACCTTGCGAAGGCTCTGAAACATCCATCTATTTGTTGATAAACTTAATTTTTTCAAAAGTTTATAAGGCATGCGATTATGATGAATGACTCGCTATTTAAATAGAAAGTCTTACAAAGCGATAAATAATTTTACTGTTTTCTTCTGACAATTGCAACTGACAGATAAGGTGTTGGGTTTTAAATAAATCTTATCTGTCGGCAGCTATAAGATACTCTGAAAATTACAGTGCAACTACTAAACTTCATTAGTATG